TATTTTATATAAAAAATTTAATTATCATTTATATATTATAAAAATACGTTGTCTAAAAAGTATATATTAATGCTCTCACGTACCAAAGAAGATTGCACTACAGCTCTCTTAGGTCTCAACCACTTTTTTAATTGATTTGTCTCACCTGTGATTTGTCTCACCTGTATTCAAAGGGTATAAATTAAAATTGTATTAATTATATTTTTTTATAATAAATTGATATTAAAAAAAAATAGAACTCAACTTTTAATTTATCAATCTATTCGAAAAAGGGCAGAATTAAAACAGATACTGTCGTTGCTGAAAACCTTCAAGATCTTTCTTTCGTATATCTTCTTTTCAGGTAGACCTGCAAGATTCCGAGGTTGGTCCTCGGGAAGAAACTCCGATGCTTAAGGTAGTATTTTTCTAGTGAGTATTCTCCTTTTCCTTCTGTGAATTTATCATACCTTTCTTTGTGGGTTTTGTACAGCTTGGCAAGGTACCCACATGGCTTAGTTAACCCAATAATTATGGCATGGTGTGCCTGACGGAGTAGACGTTTTAGATGAACGTAACGTACCTTAACGGAGCACCCGCATTAAATGCACATGGTGTGCTCTGATGAAGCAAGTCCCTTGAGAAGGGAGACTTAGGTAAGGACAAATGATCGGGTAAAGGTACTCTTATAGTAACTGTCATATACTTGTGGTAGAGAGTCAAGGTGCAACCGACCTCGAGCTTTGCCTTGTGTATATCTACCCTTACAGATACATATTAAATTAAAGATATTAATTATAACAAAATTTTGGTCTAATTAAATTCACTCACTTAATACTATACTAAAATTAATATCAATTTTTATAATTTTTATGTACATTTATAATAAAAAAATATACTCTTAACCTTTAGAAAAACCATTTATTAATTACCTATTAACAAATCAGTATAAATCAGTACGCTAAAGCATGAAATCAGTGATGGGGAACTGACATTTATATTTGCCATATCTTGGCACCTCATGGTTCATTGCTGGACACTTATAGGATGGGCTGTGGTTGTGCTACCTGTAAACTTGTTAGGGTCATATAGTTGGATTGTTATTTAA